ACACACACACACACACACACACACACACACACACACACACACACACACGTAATAAACAAGGAGCTAGAGACATGGCTCAGGTTAGGAGCACCAGCTGGCTGCTCTTCCAGAGCACCCACCAGGCAACCACCTGGCGGCTCACAAGCCTCTGTAACTCCTGTACCAGGAGATCTCATGCCCTCTTCTGGACTCTGTAGGCATGCACATGGTGCACACAAATCTGCATAGGCCAAAACCACATACACATCAAATAATTAAAAAATGTGTCTCATCCTCAGCACAGTATGCTGCCCACTGCATGCACAGCCCACAGGAACCAGAGCAAATGACCCTACAAGAGTCACACATCTTCCGTCCCACACCCACTTCTGAGCATATGTTCCTCATATCCTGCAGTGGGTAGAATCACCCACACCAGCTAGAACTTTTTCTTGTCTAGGATTCGGGGCTGAGTTCATGTGATGTGCTGTCAGAACTGTTATATCCAGCCCAACTGGGTGTTCCTCCTCTCCCTGTCTCATAAGCAGCTGGCCAGTCTTTCTTCCAGAGACCTTCCTTTCAGAGAGACCTATGTCTCCTGGTCTCTATCCTTGGCATTCCTCATGAGCTCTTCTCCCCAGGATTCTTAGCTTACTTAGAATACCTTCTTTCATGAACTGGAGACGATGTGGCCTGAGAGACCCCCCTATATGCACTTTTCTCTGCCCAAGAGGGGCTCATCTAGGGAGTGGGGCTTGCAGGGCACAAACAAATACAATAAATGTGTTACAAGGTTTCTTGTGAGAATAGGAACGGGCTTCTGGCACCTCTAAGATAAACCCTGAGGTAGATTTTATTTGTTTGTTTGAGACCTCAGGTCAGGCCTTATACACACAAGAAGCTCAGTAGTAGTCACAGGTCTTTAATCCACAACTTTCTGGTCATATTCATCCCTGCCCCAAGATGGTAGGGAAGGATGAAAACACATGTAGGCCACATGATACACTCAAGGAAGGAGTGGAGTCAGACTGAAGCCTGGGCAGGGAGGTCCTGGCCCCAGGAGATGAGGGAGTTGCTGGCCTGGGCAAGCTCAGTGATGGACACTCGGCCCCGCTGTCGGATGAAATTGGCCACGGCAGCCAGTTCCTCTGGGGTTATGTAGATGAACTTGCCCCGGTCGTCAATCACACCTGTGGGGACATGCACATAGTAGGACTGAGTCCTCCCAGGCTTTCCCTACCTAACCTGAAAATGCCCATCCATTCCTTTATAACTGATTTAGAGCCTTTCAATTCTCTTGTCAGCCTGGCCCTTCCTGGGTACATCGAAGCCCATGTGGGTGAGTCATACAAATCCTTTCTTCCCATTCCTCACTCCAAAGCTAGGCAGAGGCTTCTAGGTCTTCCTTGTGACCAAGTCCAATTCCCCAGTGTCCCTCACTGCATATACCTCCCACCCTGGAGAGGCCAGGCTGCCTTTGGAACAAGTCTGCAGGCCTCTGTGCTCACTCAGCCCCATAGACCAGGGCCTGTTTGTAGGCTTGGCTTGCATTCTCACCTGTTAGAGTCCCCTCCGTTAGCAGGTCCTGGATGCGGTTTATGGCATCCTGTAAGGAAACCAAGTCTTAGAGCTCGTTTTTTGTGGTTCCCACGCTCACAGACCATCACCCCTCCTCCCCCTAGCATGCGGCTCCTGCTGTTACTGTGCTCCTCCTAAGAGGGAATCTTGACCACAGAGCCATCACTGCCCTCTCCCTAGAATGCTATTCCTGCTGTGACCGTGCTCCCCCTAAGAGGGAGTAACTGAAGGGGCTCTAATCATCGGATCTGCCAAATCTCCATGGAAATTTTCTTCCAGTTGGAAGAGGAATAGTGGAGATGTCTCATTACAAAACAACCTTTTGCAAAAAGTAACTAGATTTGGGCTGCACTGGTCATAGGGCAGGCTAAAGTATGGCACTTGACTTTCCTTTCCTGTTCTTTTCATCTCTATAGAAATGCAGAATTCTTGGAGTGCAAAGAAAACCCTACACTCTGTTCACTCTTGGTTGGGGACAGTCTGAAAGGACATCGTGACTTACCATCTTCAGGCCAGCTCCCTATTCCCTACTAGCCACAGCCCCTGTAGCTATATTCCATATACTAGGGCTTACCTGAGTCCTTAGGCCCATCTGGAAAGCCAGATCTTCCAAAAGCACAACTTTGGACTGCTACAGATAAGGAAGAGGAGGGAGAGAAGCTGAGACCACTTGGCCAGCTCCATGCCAGTGAGATGCCCTATCTTAAAACAAAAGGTGGATGGCAACTAAGAAACCATATGCAGAGCTGTCTTCTGGCTTCTACATTCATGCACACACACATACACCATATCTTTAAACTAACATTTTCTAATTAATTAATTAATTTGTGTGTGTGTATGTGTGTATGTGTGTGTACGTACAACACACATGTAGAGAGGTCAGAGGACAACCCAATCATCATGTGAATCTCAGATCTTAAGGTTTGACAGCAAGCGCCTGTACCTGCTGAGCCATCTTGCCAGTCCAAAAGTTGGTCTTTTGTTTTTAAGCTTTTAAAATTAGAAAATGGTTACCTAAGCCAAGTGTTGTGGTGCATATCTGTAATCTCAGTGTTTGGCAAGTAGAGGCAGGAAGGTCAAGAGTTCAAGACCGTACATTCACACACATTTAAAGGAAAAAAAGCTTGCAGGAATGGTAAACAAGAGCTAGTTCCTACCTCTGAGCTAAAAGCCTATCTGGTGAAACAGACAGACACAGACCAGATGATAACAGCCTGGGGTCTTTCACAAGGCCCACAGAGACTTGTTCTTCTCTTGTGTTTGCTTCTCACCCTTCAGTCTAGACCTCCACAGTCCTGAGAGGTGCACACTTCTTACTCAGCCTCTTCACACTCTCTCACCTGCCATGGCCAAATAACTATCACTAGGGCTGGCAAGACGGCCTGTGTGCTTCCGAGGACTTGAGTCCAATCCCTGGAACTCACTAAAGAAGCTGAGTGTGGCTGGAAGTGGCAGTGCACGCACTCAGGAGGCAGAGGAAGATGGATTGCCGAGAGCTCGACTAGCCTGGTCTACAGAGTGAGACCCTGTCTCAAAAACAAGCAAGCAAGCAAGCAAGCAAGCAAGCAAGCAAGCAAGCAAGCAAGCAAACAAGCAAACAAGCAAGCAGCTAGCACCGTGTACTTGGCCCCTCACTGCTGGAAAGGCAGACAAGTAGCTTACTGTGGCTCACTGGCCAGCTAGTGTGGCCTGCATGAGTTCCAGGCCAGTGAAATAAAGTATATCACTCTCCTCCTTGCAAGAAAACCAAAGGCAGGCAAGCACCCAAGGCTCCCAAATATGTGCATATCTCTGTGCACACACCGGTTCGCAGGAGCACCCACACATCTACAAACACACACACATAAAGTAACTCTATGAACAGTGAAAAGTGCTCTCTCTATGTGGTCCTGGGCCATGTCTCATGGCTGCTCTTGCACCCTCAGTAGAAACGAGCTTCTTGCATCTCAGTCAAGGAGTCACAGCTGGGTCCAAGCATGCATCTGCCCCCACCTTTGCCACATATAGCAAATGATTTGAGAGAGGGCGGTCCTTTGCATTTCTGTGAATCTTCCACAGCAAATGAGCTGGGGGAGTAATGACATGGTGACACCTCCTCAGCTACATATGGCATGTGACTTGTTGGAATGCCAAACCGCATGTGCAAGCAGGGGTGCGGGGTGCAGGGTGGGAGGGTTGGGAAAAATACAATCAAGAGGCAGTTGGGCCAGGGAGTAGGCAAGTACAAAAGGATCTGGCCAGCAGCTTCTACCTGTGAAACAAACCAGGCACCAGGCTCTCAGCAGTCCCTCTCAGAGCAGGACCAGAGTCACCGCCTGTGCTGCCTGGTTCCTGAGGAGCTAGCCTGAGGCACTACTAGAATCAAAGTGTATTTGCACAAACAGACATTCCTAGCCATGGCAGAAAGTGGAACAGGCATCCTTACTGTTCACATGAAGTGAGTTGTGTGCAGACACCTTCCTCCAGTTCTGAAATTTTGTCTAAAGGGTCAGATCCCTTGGGGTGAGGAAGGTGGACAGAGTGAACTTCAGAAGTCCTCTTCCTTCCTCCAAGATGGCAGCTCCAAGAGTTTGGAGAGCACCAAGAATAGAATCTCCAGGGAGCCACCAAAAGAAAGAGCCAGAACTACCTGGGAACTTTCTTCCGGCCCCTGCAGAAATGAGAGCAACACTGAAGCTGACCCCTAAATCCACCTGGGAGGCCTCGTGAAGGAAGTATTTTAGACCCATGCTGCTTCCCACTGCACAGGTAGGGACAGCGAGTTCTCAACAGGACAGTGTGAAAATTTCTGCTCAGGGTAGAATGCCAGGGTGGAGTGTGGGCTTCATCAAAGGGGAATGCTCACAACCTAAGGGAAAAGGACCCTCTGGAAGATGCTATGGCTTCTTCTTCTTAGGGATTCTGGGCCCCAGACATGAGCCCAGCCCCTCACTGCTGCCAAGGGATATCTAAGCCCTGCTCTCTTTTAGGAGAGGTGGGGGAGGATTATGCAAGCCCCAGCTTCTTGGCAGCCCCTGATACCACCCCCAGTATCGCCCCCGCTCCCTCTGCACTCCTTCCCTCAGCTGCCTCTGCACCTCTGAGCTGCACTTGAAAACCTCTCCCCTTCTAGCATCCTTTGTGGGAGACAAGTTGCTTAGCAGCAAAGCGGATCAGGATGTGCTTATGCAACCCAGAGCAGCATCAGGGCAGCCTATGGAGTGCTTGTGGATAGAGGGACACTGCTGACTGCTCAGGGGTACAATGAAAAGACCATCCTACTTCTTCAGAAAGGCCTAAGCTCCCAGTCAGGACCACAGAACACGGGACATTTGTTCTAATTCAGTGGAACCTCAGCATGACAGAGCTGACAGAAAACACATATGAATTGACTTCAAAACATGATGACTCACTGAGCGTGGGGTCTGAAGAGCAGAGGGACTGTCAATCAAGTATTAGGAAGCCACTGGAGGCTTGAGCCTCCCACACAAACCTCTGTCCTTCTCCACCTTCTAGGTCTAAAAAAAAAAAAGGGATCTTCCTAGCCAAGAACCAGTAGCCAACCCTTCTGGACCCCATGACCATGCTGATCCAAGACTGAATGAGACTCCCCTCCTTGGTGCTGAGAACATAATACAAAATATACATAGACACATGTATACTCACGTGGCAGGAAATCCCAGAATTCTCTGAGCCTCTTACCTTAATGTAATTGATGAATTCTGTCAGGAAGCTGTGAGACTAAAGGGCAGAGAAAGCAGTGAGCTCCAACCGTAGCTGAAGGCCTGGTCGCCTGCACGCTGCCTGACTGCAGCCTGTCTTGGATTTCTACCCCACCACCTGTTTTCATGAGAGGCAGAACCTCCCACACTAAAGGACGACAGGACAAGGGTCTCTGCTGAGACCAAGGCTACAGTCACAAGGGCCTTCACTTACTGGCACTCGATGGACGCATTTCTCAGTACACAGCCCAAAGTGTCTAAGGTGGTGTGGGTGGCCTCAGACCTAACACACACTACCCTCATGGCACAGATTTCACAGGAGTGACAGACCCACCTGCTCCTCGGTCATGGTTTCACTAACACCTTCTTCTTCTACCACGAAAGCCTCCTTCAGTTTCAAGTACTCCTCGTGCTCCCGCCGGGCCTGCTCCTCTCGGGCCTTTCTCTCTTCCTCTTCCTGTGGACACAGAGGAAGATGAGGCAGGTTCGGGCAACTGCCCACTCACATCTGTTCTTGTGTCTGCAGGACACAAGCTCATACAATCCAGAGATAGTGCTTCTTCAAGACTTTCACCCTTTGGTCTCAAGCTAAACAACAGGTGGAGGCTCTCCTCACCAGCCCTGTCATCACCAGGCCATGCTGCCCAGACTCTTCCCCTGTCCCCTTGCTCAGGAGATTAACTTAGGAAAAAAATCTTGAAAACCTTGCCACAAATTCTTCCTGGTCCAGGTCATGTCCAGGTCTGAAAAAGCAGTTGATTCTACTCCTTACCAGCTTACATAGTCAGCCCACTGTTTACTACCAGCCATGCACACAGCCAGCCCACTGTCGTCTGGCTTCTGAATCACCTGAGTAGAGAGTCTCACTGAAGAACTATTCTGACTGCCTTGCTTGATGCGGGAAGGTGGCCCTTCCGGTGGCAGCCCAGATCAAGGGCAGGTCAGAAGGACACTGTCTTGCCTTTTGCTCAACCAGTCTCTCTGCTCACCTCCCTCTCCCCATGGAGGACAAAAGTGGGCACAGATCTCAAGCTGGGGTTGCCAGTGTTTGTCTGCCACTTGGTAAGGGTGCTGGGATCCAAACTCTGGTCCTCTGACAGAGCAGTGAGCCCTCACACTGATCTGCCTCTCCACTTCCTCTGACAGAGCAGTGAGCCCTCACACTGACCCGCTTCTCCACTTCCTAACTGTGGCAGAACAGTGACTTATTTCCACATAAGTATGAGGAGGTGGGGAAAACAGAAGAGGCATACAGTAATAGTTCAATAGTGGAGCACTTCCCCGGAACTCACAGGCTCTGTGTTCAATATTCAGTCCTGGGGGTAAAGAAAACTGAACAAAGGAAACAACAACAAAAAGCAAACCCCAGCATGACTCCAGATAAAGTCGTCCCAGGACTCCAAACTCGGAGTAAGCAAAGCACAAGTTCAAGGCCAGCCTGGGCTACAGAGAGTTTTAGGCCTATTTTTACATAATAAGATCCTGTCTCAAAAAACCAAATTAATTAATTCAAAATAAAAATCAGAACAGGGTGTGGTGGACCTTTAGTCCTCACACTCAGGAAACAGAGGCAGGAAGATCTCTTGAATTTGATCTCTTGAGTTGGAGACCAGCTTGGTCTATAGAGCAAGTTCCAGGACCACCAAGGCTATACAAAGAAACCTCATCTGAAACAAAACAAACAAACAAACAAACAAACAAACAAACAAAGACAGACAGACAGCTAGATCGGGGCTGGAGAGATGGCTCAGCAGTTAAGAGCACTGGCTGTTCTTGCAGAGGACCCAGTTTGATTGTCAGCACCCACATACTGGCCCTGATTTTTTTTTTTTTAATCTAAAAGACAAATAAAATAAAAACTAGCCAATCCAAATCAAGTTACAATTTACAAACTAGTTTTCCAATATCCTTCAAAGCTAGTAAGATGATAAACAAGGAAAACCTGACAATCAAGCCCCACAGAGGCCAAAAGAAGACGTGACACGTAACCAAAACACAGGATGTTAGATATGACCCTGCAAAACAAAAATACCTGGGCTGGAGAGATGGTTAGAAGCCCTGACTACTCTTCCAGAGGACCTGGGTTCAATTCCAGGCACCAACATAGGGGCTCACAACTGTCTCTGACAGCAGTTGAAAGGGATCTGATGCCCTCTTCTGGCCCCTGAGCATGTTTGCAGGTAAAGCCATATACATAAAATAAAATTAAATAAAAAAAAAAAAAATCCTAGGGCCAGTGGTGATGCATGTAGCTCAGTTGGTAGGATTTTTGTCCACAAAGCTCTGGGTTCAATTCCTATGTAAATCAGGCATAGTAGTGCACGCCTCTACTCTCAGGACTTGGGAAGAAGAATCAGGAGGAATGGACATCATTGGCTATAGCAAGTTCAAGGCCAATCTGCTGCCTTTAAAAAAAATGAAAAGAAGGAAGGAAGGAAGGAAGGAAGGAAGGAAGGAAGGAAGGAAGGAAGGAAGGAAAGAAAGAAGGAAAAAAGGGAGGGAGAGAGGGAGGAAGGAAGGAATGAATCTGAATAAAATGTGCCACTTAATTTAAGGATATGCTATTATTCTTGTTGAGAAATGTACCAATATATGTAAAACCTAAAACAGGGAGAAAGCCAGGTCACTGACCACTATTCAAAAGTGAAGAACATTCTCTGTTCATGCCTCTCAATGCCCTTCCCAGTGTCCATGGCCAGGCTTCCTCCAGACATAGAGTTCTGGGACAAGCCAACCAGAGGCCCTCATGCTTCAAGCTCTCTACATGTTTGCACTTTCCCTTTTCTTAGAAACCTGGTTCTAGAATAATCTGGTAAATAAGAATTCATTAACCATCTTTCAACGGTGGCTCCAGTTCTCTAGCACCGGTCCTATGCCAGGTCCCAATGGATTCACTGTCTCCCAAGACTGTTGACAATCTCAGGGTCCTCAGGATCTAGAACTGCAGTACTTCTCTACTTTGTACCTTATTGCTTTCTCAGTTCTGGATATTCTGACCTCATTCAATAGTCCTCAAATGTCTAGGTACCCATAGCTCATGCTCACAAGAAACCCTAGCTCTGGGCTGGAAGGAGCTCAGCCGGTAAGAGCATTGGTCATTCTTCCAGAGGACCTGGGTTCCAATCCAGAACCCACATGAGCTATTTGTAATTCCAGTTCTGATACCCTCTTCTGGCCTCTACAGGTGCTAGGCACATACACAGTGCCAGACATACATACAAGCAAAATACCCAAACACATAAAAAGGTTTTGTTTTGCTGTTTGGAGACAGGATCTCTTTACATAGCCTTGGCTGTCCTGGAACTCAGAGATTGCCCTGTCTCTGACTCCCGAAGTGCTGGGATTAAAGGCATATACCGTCATACCCGGTTCCTTTTTTAATAAAATTGGGGGTGGGGGGGAGAAAGAAAGAAATCCTCAGTTCTAAGCCATGCTGCTTCTGCAGGTGATGCTTTGAGGCAGGCCTTTGTGCTGGGTCCATGACCCATCCTTTGTTTTGGAGATAGGAATTAGATAGTCCAGACTGTCCTCCTGCCTCAGCTTCTCAAGTGCTGGGATTATAGGTAGGGGTCACCACCATACCCAGTACTTGTACTTGGCCTATCTTGTAGCATGGAGGCATTTGGGAGCAAAGCTAGGTAATAATGGGCCAGACAACAGGGTCCAGGGTCAATCTTACCTTCTGTTCTTCCTTCAGGCGAAGCCGCTCCTCTTCCTTCTTCCATTCGGCCTCACGTTGGGACTCTAGGCGTCTCCGTTCTTCACGTTCAGCCTCCTCCGCCTGGAGAGAGGTTTCTTTTTTTAGCCCTGGCTGTCCTGGAACTCACTCTGTAGACCAGGCTGGCCTCGAACTCAGAAATCCACCTGCCTCTGCCTCCCAAGTGCTGGGATTAAAGGCGTGCACCACCACTGCCCGGCTGGAGAGAGGTTTCTATAGCACATTTCCTCTTCCTCTAGCTAGTTTGCCCAAGAAATGACAAAGAAAGCCACTGCCTGGGCCAGGACATGGCTAAGAACTCAGGACACAAGCCAGGGGGACAGCAAACACCAGCTCAGCAGCCAAGGAACCCCAAAGACAGTCTGTTATGGGAACTAGAGAGTGGGTCTTTTCCCACCCCCTGGAGCTATGCCCCAGCCTCTTGCTTGCCTCGCGCTGAGCCTTTCGAGCCTGTTTTTCTTCTAGCTTTCGTAGCTTCTTGGCTCCAATTTTCCCTGTTGGATGAACTTCTGCTGGCTTCTCAACGCCTTCTTCCTCCTGGGCTGGGTATGGTCAGACAAAGACAATTTAAGTCCTAGACAGAGAAGACTTATACGACCCCTTGTCACCGTCATTGAGGGGTAGGTGAGTGTGTAAGGGGTGTTTTTTACCTACCCCTGCTTTCCAAAAGCATCTACCATAAATGTGCATACACATACCAGTGTGAGAACATATGAATGATGTAGCTGGGGGGTGAGAGGTGGGAGGCCAAGAGGACAAATGAGACTTTAGATACTGCACAGCTGTAAGAGGACGGCAACACCTGAGTGTCTGAGGCTCACAGGTGTCTGTACCTGCAGAAGTCCCTAATTTCTGTCTCTGTGCCAAAACCTCCAGGGAAGGATAGCCTTGTGGGTAAATTTATTCCTGCCATAAATCCAACAGCCTGTATGTTCTAGTCAGGAACTGATGAGTGTCTTGGACTCCTTCAACCAGGACTCTTCCTTTATCTTAACAGAGCCAGACAGAAAAAATAACCGTAACCTCTGGGCCAGCTGAAAACAGTTGATAAGCCGATGCCTGAGCCTCAGAGTCCATGACCCAAATCTGAGACAGGATGGAGGGTGAAGAGAGGGCCTTGCTGTGGGTGCTGCTTGTGAAACAGCTATATAAGGCCAGGCTGGCCTGAGACTTCCCGTGCTCCTGCTTTTGTCTTCTGAGTACAGGAATTATAATCATGCACACACATCCACTAGAGGACTCTTTTTAAGCCAAAGGGGCTAACAATCCCAAGGGCTCAAAGCAAAAGCCCAATTTCCCCTAAATTCTCTTCTTCATACTGAAGCCAGGTTTCAAGTACTAGAGAAGACACATTCTTTCCCACAATCATAAGGACTTTTGTAAGACTCCCCGTATCTGCTATGTGGAGGTAAACGTCAACAGAAATGTCTCTATTTCTAAGCACTTATTCTAGGGCTACAACTGATCCCACTAAACCAAGATCAAAAAAGAGGCACCCAATAGAATAGGGACTGGGTTAAGAAATGCTGATTTCGAGGACCAAAGCCCAGACCCAAAACTCCAGCCTCGCCACTAAATGTCCTTCCTACACTGGCTTCATGCTCCTTGCGCATATCTAGCCTGGGGGACTTCTTAACCCCTCTAATCCAGCCCCCTTCCCCTAGGCTCGGCCCTCTCACCTGGAACAACAGTTTCACCCTCGTTCTCATCCACTTCTTCCCAGGCCACTCGTTGGGCTCGACGCTGGGCCTGTAGACGGCTGCCCAAGTCCCTCCGACGCCGGGGCCTGCTTCCAGTTCTCTGCTCTTCGGACTCCTGGGGCCATGACCGGGCTACCTGGCCTGCTCCTGCCCTCTCTTCCTCATTGTGCAGTGATTCTCCATCAGCTTTGGAGAAGGAGGAACCATAACACTGTCAAGCAGCCCATCCTCCAGATAGTGAAGAGCAGCCTCTTGGGAGTCTCATCCTCCCTTGCTCAACCTCCTTCAGACGACTGCTGCCCACAGCACAACGTCCCCACTTAGGTTTGTCAAGGCTTTTTTTTTTTTTAACTGACACCTTGGTCTGATCCTCATTTCTCATTTCCTACCTCCTTTAGTAACTTCATCTTCTTGAACTGAACCCACTTTCAGGCTACCTATGAGGATACTTTCACGCTGAGGTTTGCAGATCTCACTCGATGCCCACTGCAAGACTACGTTTATTTCTTGCTTAACGCTATGCTGTGATTTTATAGGGTACTCCAACTACATGTTACAGTCGGGGCTGAATTCTCCCTCCATGGAAGACTTGTTGGCGATCAGCTTTGCCTCCGCTTCTTTCTCTTTTGCCCCTGAAGTAGCTTATGGGCTCAGGGATCAGAGAGATGTATAGAAACTCCTACGCATACATGAAGTGTTAGTAAGGGAGACTGTCAGGTTATCTGTTTACGCTAGGCCAATGACCTGGCCTTCTAATCCTGGTGGAGGAGAGGCAAAGCAGCATTGTATGCCCTCTTTGGCGGGAGATGCCTTCAGAGTTTCCTGAGGCTGCCTAGCCCTCCCTGGTAAGCAGAACACACTGGGCAGGCAGGGTTAGAAAACGGGCAGCCTCTCCTATTGGTGCAGAGTAGAAAGGCAGGCTTGGTGCCTAAACTGCGCGCCCAGCATTGGGCTCAGCCTTAATCCCGACTGTGTCCCTAGGCGCGTGCGCAAAGCTGTCTCCGGCCAGCGTACGAGCTTCTCGTAAGCACAGGAAACCACGTCAGTGCATGCGCACGAGTCACGACGCGACGGCCTACCAAAGCCCAGGAACTCTGAAAAACGGATTCCTCGGCCCTGGGACGGCGGCACCTCCTACCTGCTGCCGCACGACCCCGGCTACGAGTCAGGAAGAAGATCAGACCGATGAGCAAAACCGCCGCCGCCAGATACACCCAGGGCCCTACCATGACGACAGGCAGCCTGGCAGCGCAGTCAGCGCGCCTGCGGGACCCGGATCGCCAGGCCCCGCCCACTACCGTCCGCCCTGCCCAGCTGCTCGCTGAGCTCCGCCCCCGCCCTGGGCTTGACCTGGGCCTCCTTAGCTCCGCTTAGCTCCGGAGTCCCTGCTGTCACATGTGCCTGTCACCCCAGTGCTTGGGAAGTGGAGACCTGGAGACCAGCATTTCAAGGTCTCTGGCTATATGGCGACACGGAGGCCAGTCTGCAGTTAAGAACGCTGGCTGCTCTTCCAGTGGGTCAGGGTTCGGTTTACAGCACCCACATAGTGGCTTGCAACCTTCTGTGACTCAATTCCAGGGGACCCAAAACCCTCTTCAGACCTCCTCGTGCACCAGATATACATGCCTGCAAAACGCTCATACACATAAAAATAAGTGTTTAAGAGAAAAAGAAAGAAAAAAAGAAAATAGTGGCGTGGGTAAGTAGGGAGTTAAGCTGGGGTTATAGATTAGTAGTAGAAGACTCAAGGCCAAGGCCCTTAGTTTAATTTGGAGCACTGAAAAATGATAACGTGTATGCAAATATCTTACTAATACTGCAATTTAAGGATCTATTGCATTACTTTCTGTAAATTTTGAGTATTTTGTCATTTATTTCTCGATATTAATAAACCTAAGGCCTTCCAGGTGTCAGGCAAGTGCTGCACTAGCTTTATCTCTAGAAAGTACATTCTTTCTGTATATTTGGAGATTTAGACCCATGTTTGTTTGCAGGCTAAGGCTTTGCTGGAATTTTATCTCAGCCTAGGCCCTTACTTTAGTTGTTGTTTGGTTTTGTTCTGAGACAGGTCTCTGGTAGCCTAGGCTGGCCTCACACATGGTGTGTAGCAGACAATGACTTTGAACTGATCCTTTTACTTTTGCCTCCCAAGTGCTTGGGTTATCTGGGACTTCAGGTGTGCACCCTGATGGCCAGATGCTCCTCCATCTTTTGTGGGTGGGTTGTTTTGTTTCTTTGAGGTTGCATCATATAGCTCTGCCTGGCCTAAAACTCAGTATGTAAACAAGGCTGGCCACAAACTCAGAGGGATCTGCCTGCCTCTGCCTTGGTTACAATTAAAGGCATGTGGCACCACAGACATTTTTGTGTTCCTGTATTCTTAACAAATGTTATTTTATATGTGAGATACACACACACACACACACACACACACACATATGGAGCAGGTATTAGAGGAGGTCAGAAGAGGAAGCAACCTGGGTCCTCCACAAGAGCAGTAAGCACTCAACCACAGAACCATCTCTCCACCCAACATTAAAATTGGGTGGAGAGATAAATTTTAAAAAATGGCAGGATAAATATAAAAGTAGATGTTAATTATTGAAAGTTTGTGTATATTAAGGGTTCATAATAATTTCCTAGGGTTTTTTTTGGTATATGTTTGAAAAATAAAGCCGGGCAGTGATGGTACATGCCCTTAGAAATGAATCTCTGTGTTCAAGACCAGCCTGGTCTACAGAGAGTGTTCCAGGACAGCCAGGACTATACCTGTCTTGAAAAACCAAAAATGAAAAAAAAAAAACCCAAGCATTTTGGCATATATTTTTATATTTCTGTCTATAACCACTGAACAAATACTTAGATTTTCTAAATACTGATTTCAAGTAATAAATCAATGACCTGTTCATTACTAATACAAAGTTACCATTTGCAGATCAAACAATGATGAGGTTCTGGGTAGAGGTATCAGAGAACTCCACCTGATTCCGGCTTCCTTTTTTATGTGTTTGTTTTTTCTTCAATCCTTCACTGCCCTAACCTGGGTCCTAGGAACCAAACTGCTCGGGATGTAGCATCTAGGGATTATTGACTTAATTGATCATACGACATGATATCTGTCAATGCTTATATCCAAGCCCATGACAGGCTCCTCCTAGGGGGAGACTGGAGCTGAGGCATTTAACATCCAAGAAGTCATCTGTGCTTTAAAAACCTCCTCTACTTGTCTACTTTCCTGAGGATTCCCTTTAACTTCATGGAGGAGGGAGACAGGTGCCATGCAGGAAGGGCCATGCTACTCAGCCCAGCCTTTCCCAGTCAACTCTAATGAACCACAGTCCTCAAAAAAAAAAAAAAAAATAACATCGAGGGCCAGTGAGGGAGAAACTATGACCTGTCTCCAAAGACACAATATACAGCAAAGCTTCTGAATTGTGTGACACGCAATATTAAGGCCACTGATCAAAGATTTGTGGAGAATATAACTTTGGCTACTCTGTGAGGACAGTTCTAGAGTTTAAGAAACATTCACTAGTGGGCTGGGTATGTGGCTCAGTGGTACAGTGCCTCCCTAAGTTCCATAAGTCCCTAAGTTACATCTATATAACAATACCCAAGGCAGTAAGAGGTTAATAACATTAAGCTAAACAACCAGGCTTGTAGGATTCCATCGTTTGTTTGTGTGATTCTGGGTCCAAACTCAGGACCCTGGCCATCCTATGCAAATGGTCTACCATCAAGCTACATCCCTGACACACTATATAGCCCAGGCTAGCCTTGAATTCATGATCTTCCTTCCTGCTGTAGTTAGTCTCAGTGCTGGGATTACAAGTGTCCACTTCTTCTAGCTATCACCGTTTACTTTTTTTTCCTTAAGATTTGTTTTTATATGTAAGATGTTTAGCTGCACGTGTGTACTGCATTATATATGCCTGGTGCCTTCGGAGACCAGAGAGGCCAATGTATCCCCAGGAACTAGAATTACAGGCAACTGAAAGCCATCACGTGGTTGCTGGGAACTCAACTCTGGAAGAGCAGTCCGTGTATTTAACTGCTGAGCCGTATCTCCAGCTTGATCTTACAACTTTCAGAGAACCTAGGTTCGGTTCCCAACATCCACACCAGGCAGCTCAAAAGCACCTGTAACTCCAGGTCTATACCTGTCTTGAAAAACCCAAAATGAAAAAAACCCCAAGCATTGCTTTAGTGGGCTCATGCACGCATAGGGTAGGACTAACAGGGTCACTCTAATCTTTCTTGTCATGTTCCCAATGCAGATTCTGAGGTGAAGGAATAGGGTTAGCTGAGCAAGAGAAAGAAAAGGAGTCGAAACACTAGCTATCAAGCCTATCAGGTAAAAGACTACTTGGTTATGCTGTTTTAAGTTCGCAGGTGAGGTTAGGATAGATACCCAGGCTTAGAGCCCTTTTCTAGGAGACAGTCTTTCTTGACAGGGTTGGAGGTGCCAGAGGGGCGCCAGCACACCCGACACAGGTCTGCAATTGGTCAGGGCGCGGCTTCTGGGCTCCCCGAGGGGCGTAGCAGAGGTTTCGCACGCTGAGAGACCTCTCCACCCCTCAGCGCGTCCCTAGCGCCTCAGACAGCATTTCGCTGCGGAATGCTCTTCTGCGACGGCTGCCACCTCCCGGTTGCTGGCAGCAGCTGTCCGAGGCAAGCTTCAGGTTTCAGATAGGGCCGGAAACCAAGCTACCTACTTCCGTCTCCAGCCGGAAGTGCCTTCCCGGCAAAGGGTTTCTGGGCATTCTGGACCGTAACCCTCGCCTGCAATGGCTGCGTCTTTGGTTGGGAAGAAGATAGTGTTTGTGACGGGAAACGCAAAGAAGCTGGAGGAGGTGTTGTGGGGTGTGGAGACTGTCTTGGAGGCGGGTGGAGATTGGGCTGTTGGGCGGGCTTTCTTCACCAGGCAAGCATTGGAGAGAAGGCAGGAAACATCCGGAGTTGGACTCTCGGGGAATGTGGGTTAGCCCCTGGCTGTGTTGAAGGACTCAGCTTGGGGAGAGACCGCCGTGGAGTGTGGCGCCTTGAGGGTCAGAGGATTTTTTATATAATTATTATTTTGGAGATAATGGCTCGTGTAGTCTAGGCTAGCCTGACCCTGCTGTGTAGCCAGGATTGACTTTATTCTCTTGACGCTCTCTGGGTCTGCACGCATGCTCCACTTCACGTGTTTTTAGGTGAGCTGGTAAAATCAGCGGGCTATGGGAGCTGGAGTAGTGGCATCTGTTTCAGACAGATCACCCCTTAAGCCCTAGATTTCAAACCTGAGGTCAGACACTTCACCTCCTCAAAAGTAAAGGTAATGTGTGTGTGTGCACACGCGCGTGTGTGTTTGATCTAAACTGAGTAATTCCATTAACTCCTCCGTATCTGAGATGTGTAATACCTCATAAGAATCATGGCTGACCACAGTATAACAAAAGGCAGGTTAACAAAAGAAAAAAGTGTGACAAGTTTGTCAAAACTATACACGCTACAGCTTTTAGAACAAAGACCCAGAGACTTTATTTAGTTTTCTTCTGACAGTAGGTACTTTGGATCTAACCCAGGTCTTACAACCAGTGATTGTCTTCTCTTGTGACAGAGTCTCAATAAACCTAGAGTGTGCTATTTGGTGGGATAGCAAGCTCAAGCAATCCTGTCTCTGCCTCCTCCAGCACTGAGGATACAGGTAGCTCGACTCTCCCAGAGTTGTATGTGGTGCAGGGGATCAGAACTCAGGTCACCGTGCTTGTGTTGCAAGTGCTCTTCCCATTACCACAGCACAACACCCCCAGTTTATAAATGACTTAATTTATGAACTTATGTCTGTGCACCAGATGTGTGCAGTGCTGGTGAAGACCAGGAGAGGGCATTGGGTCCACTGAGACTGGAGTGACAGACGATTGATTGTGAGCCACCCTGTGGGTGTTAGGAGCCAGATTGGGGTCCTCTGCAAGAGCAACAGGTACCCTTAACCACTGAGCCGTCTCTCGAGCCCCATGTCCCTCCCAACCCCCATTTTTTTTGAAATAGGGACTCTTGAGTTGGCCTTGAACTTCTGATCTTCCTCCTTTTACCTGCCTAGGGACAGGATTTGGAATGACAGGTGTGATTTGCAGTACTCTCCAGACTGGATATTCAGAAGAAGTTTTCTTCCACCTCCCTGACCTTAAAAAAATGTTTTAATTATGTGTGTGTTGGGGAGGGGCGTGAGGTCAGAATAACTTTTAGGAGTTGGTTCTCTTCTTGCACCATGGCTTGCTTGACAAAGCTAGGCATTCAGGCTTGTGAATGCATAAATCCAAGTGGTGTGACAAATGTCTTTTCATTTTGGAACAGGTCATTCAGATTCTAGGAGATAAGTTTCCATGCACTTTGGAGGCGCAGAAAATTGACCGTATGTTTCTGTTTTGTTTCATTTTTAAAAGTGGTTTGATTTGTCTGTCTTCCTGTGTCCTGACTCTGTACATCTGTCTGTCTGTTTCCCTGATAAGTGCCCGAGTACCAGGGAGAACCGGATGAGATTTCTATACAGAAGTGTCAGGAGGCAGCTCGCCAGGTACTTAGCCTTTGTGGACCCCTTCCCCCCTCCCCCCACATCCTGTCTTCTTGTGGCTCCTGGGGCCTGTGCCTTGTGGGAATAGGCAGAGAATACAATTGTCATGGCTTGCCCAGCTAGACTGCTTCAGTGGTGGCTTGGAACACTGCGTCTTCTGTTCCAACTCTCACCTTTGTGATTCCTACATCCATACATTCCAGCCATACGTTTTCCTCCTACATGGCCACCCACACCCCACATCCCGGCACTCACACCGCTTATAGACCTGGGAAGGAGCACACTATGGAGAGTCGGCCTCCCTAGCTGATTCCAGTACTTCATTGCTCTTTGTTGAGCAGAATTTATCTTTCCAGTGCTCTGATGTCCACACCTCTCAACTGAAGACAGAGAAAGCTGAATTGTATGGCTCCTGATAGACCTATAACTGCAGATCTCACCCTCACCTAGCTGTGGGCTAGGCCCCAGCCTGGGTGACTCAGGATTGTCTTTGTGTTACAGGTGCAGGGCCCTGTACTGGTGGAGGACACCTGTCTGTGCTTTAATGCACTTGGGGGACTGCCGGGCCCCTACATGTGAGTACTGCTACGATCATCATTACCCCTGTAGGATCCCATCCACACAACTACCAGAATAGTAAAATGATTAGTTACCTGATATTATGGGCCATTCACTATCTTGGCATCAACACCAAAGAAGGATTGAAACTACCAAAGACAGGGCTGGAGAAGTGGCTCAGTGGTTGAGATTTCTTGTTGCTCGACCACTGGACCCAGCTGTGACTCTTATCCCTAAATCAGGCAGCTTACAATTGTCTATAACTTCAGCTTCATAGAATCTGATGCTTCTGGCTTTCTTGGGCACCTGTAGTCACTCACACTCACTTTGACTCTCTCTCTCACTCTCTCTCTCACTCTCTCTCTCTCTCTCTCTCTCTCACACACACACAATTAAAAATAACATAAATCTTAAAATCAAAAAAAGAAAAAGAATGGGGTGTGCTGGCTCACACCTTTAATCTTGGCACCTACAAGGCAAGAGACGGGCAGCTGTCTATGAGTTTGAGGCCAGCCTGGTCTGCATAGTGAGTTCCAAGCCAGTTAGAGCTACACAGTGAGACCCTGTCTCAAAGAATATCAGAGATGGGGGCCTGGAGAGATAACTCAGTCCTGAAGAGTGCTTGTTGGTCAATCATGAGGACTGGAGTTTAGAGTCCAGCATCCACATCCAGTTTACAAACTTCTGTAACTCCAGCTCTAAGGGACCCAACTCCCTCTGCTGGCCCCCACGGGTACCTGTACATATATGTGCACATACAGCCACATAGATATGTACACATGTACACACACACACACACACAAGTAAATCTTAAAGAGGGGCTGGAGAGATGGTTCAGCAGTCGCGAGCACTGGCTGCTCTTGTAGAGAACCTGGGTTTTCTCTCCATCACTCACATGGCAGCTGACAACCATCTGTAGCTCCCTTTCTAAGTAGCCTAACATCCTTTTCTGCCCTCTGCACGCACCAGACACACATGCGGTGCGTACACATATGTGTAGGCAAAACACTGGTGTATATATATACATATAAAAGAATATCAGAGGTGGGTGAGGATGTAACTCGGTTGGTAGAGTGCTTGCCTCTATTGTGTACTAAAGCTCTGAGCTCAGCCCCTAGCCCTGCAGTACTTACCTGGTGAGCAGGCATGGTAGTGCATGTATGTTTAAAATTCCAGCACTTGCAAGATGAGAGACAAGTGGATCCAAAGTTCTGGGTCATCCTGGGCTACATAGGAGTTCTAGGCTAGTGTAGGCTACATGAGATCCTGTTATAAACCAAGCAAGCAATCACAGAGACAGAATTTTCTTTAATTATGAGAATGTGGGTTTGTACGTGAGATTAAAAGGTGGTGTCTACTCATTTCGGAGATGATATGATACCGTCTTGAAAAAAAAAAAAAAGTAAAACGTAAAATAAAAACTGCTGACTGGCTGTTCTGTCAGAGCTGCAGCGCACACTCTTAGCGCAGTCTGCACACTCCACAGCCTCACCAACACTATTGTGACTCTAGTATTTTGCAGTTTAGGGAATGTGAAATGTTACCACTTGCTTGTTTGATTTGGCTTTGGTTTGTTTTCTTGAGAGTGTGCTTCACTCTAACCCAGTCTGGCCTGAAACTTGCTGTGTAGCCCAGGCTTGCCCAGAACTTCTGGTAGTCTTCCTGCTTCAGCCTAGGTGCTTTCCTAGTCGCCACTGAGGGTCTTCCTTTGTATATTGAGCTTTTTGTGTGCTGCCTGTCTGACTCCATATTTCTTCTTAAATTCATATTTCTCTTTCTCTTGCCTTTCCTTCTGTCTCCCTGGCTCCCCTCCAGCTGCTGCCCTTCCCTTGAGTCTCTTTCCCTGTACTGCTGAGCTATTCTCCAGCCTTTGGCTTATTTTCTTAGTTTTGACTCGATCCCTGTTGGGTGTGGGGCAGAGCGGGTGACAGAAAGATTTTGCTCTTGGTACCTGACTCTCTATCCTTTCTTCTGCAGAAAATGGTTCCTGCAGAAGCTGAAGCCCGAAGGTGTGTATCTCTGTTGTTTCTTCCCAGGAGTCTTTTGGGATTGAGACTGGGAGTGATCCCCACTTAGTAATCAGTTGCCTTTGGCCCTGCCATCAGCCTCCACTTTCCTCTCAGTTTGCACAATGGTAGCCACTGAGATAGAGGTCTGGGAGAGGCAGTAAAAGTTTTGGATTGGAGGGACAAAGGGGCTGTAGTTGGTGCTGGCTATCAAAGGACTTGACAGTAATGACTGCTTGTAGTTCTTTGCATTAGTCACGGCCTAGCCTTGCCTTCAGTCCAGGAGTCTGTATCTTCACACTCAAGAGTGTATGCCAAAATGTCCCACAGTGGTGCATCCTAAAACCTAAAAAAAAAAAAAAAAAAAAAAAACGCTGGGTGGTGGCGGCGCACGCCTTTAGTCCCAGCACTTGGGAGGCAGAGACAGGCGGATTTCTAAGTTCGAGGCCAGCCTGGTCTACAGAGTGAGTTTCAAGACAGCCAGGGCTACACAGAGAAACCCTGTCTCGAAAAAAAAAAAAAAAAAAAAAAAAAACCAAAAAACCCAAAACAGGCTGCAGAGATGGCTCAGTGGTTAAGTGTACTTGTTGCTCTTGCAGAGGACCTGGGTTGGGGTCCCAGCACCTATAAGGCTGTTTACAACTGCACATAACTTTAGTTCCAGACGGTCTGGCATCTTCTGGCTTCTGTGGGCACCAGTGTACATATATATAGCCAAAACACTTGTATACATAAACATAAATAAATTCTTAAAATACAAAACCATTTTGATCTCTGGAACAATCTTATGTTAGCAAAGAGGCACATGCCTGTACTCGGAAGGCTTTCAAGTTTCAGACTGGACTACAAAGCCAGAAACTGTTTTTAAAACAAAAATAGAGCCAGGGATGGTACTCTAAGGCTGTATCCTAATTGCTGTAAGTAGGAGGATCAGAACTATAGATCCTCCTCAGCCGTATGGTAAGTTAAAGACTAGCCAGGACTCCCTGAGACCCTGGGCTCAACAACTAAGGCTTGGGATGTGGCTCTCTTGTCAGAATGCTTACCTAGTGTAACGTTCTGGATTCATTCCCTCGTGCCGTGTAACCCAAGTGTGGTAATGCACACCTGCGGTCCCAGCAGTCACAGGGTTGTGGCAGAGGATCTTCTTGTTTTGTTTTGTTTTTTTGAGACAGGGTTTCTCTGTGTAGCCCTGGCTGTCCTGGAACTAACTCTGTAGACCAGGCTGGCCTCGAACTTAGAAATCCGCTTGTCTCTGCCTCCCAAGTGATGGGATTAAAGGCATGCACCACCACTGCCTGGCTGAATGCAGCCTTTTCAACCTCCCAACACAATCCAGTTTGGGAAATCCCTCCACACCCCTGGGTTTCTGGGATAAGGGTAGGGAATGGACAGCGTGGATTCACTGAGCCTCACTATGTGCCTGCAGGTCTCCACCAGCTCCTGGCCGGCTTTGAAGACAAATCAGCCTATGCACTCTGCACATTCGCTCTCAGCACTGGGGACCCAAGCCAGCCAGTACTCCTGTTCAGAGGCCAGACCTCGGTGCGTACTCACCTGAACAGTTCTGCAGGTCACCACAGGACACTGTGGCTTGAGCTCATGATCTTCAGGAACAAAACAAGAAGACACTAGAGTTAGCAGCAGCTTTTTGTGTACTGTGCTTGCTATGAGACAAACCACAATTAGAAAAATGTTAGTCCCCAAACCTATTTGACACCTAACCTTATATATGTAGTTCTTGCCATTGTAGGTCCTGGTAAGATGCAGAGGTATAAATAGAAGGTAACTGCTCTTAAAGCCACAGTTACAGGCCAGCTGCTGAGACTGCCTTGTTCCTCTGCTATGGCCAGTCTCATCCACACTTAGGTGTTTTGAGATAGTCTCTTATGTGTTTCAGGTAGGCCTTGAGCTCGTGTGGCCGAGGTGGACCTTGAACTTCAGATCCTACTACCTTAACCTCCAAGTGGGGATTGTAGTCCTGTGCCATCTTATCTACTCTGTAATACTCTTGGCCCCCTGCTGCCCTCAGTTTTACTCTGAGCCACGGTCTCTATTATGTAGGTCTCAATGTCCTGGAACTCACTATGTAGATTAGGCTGGCCTCAAACTCAGAGATCCACATGTGCCTCCCAAGTAGGTGTGTGCCACCATGACTGACCTACAGTTTCTCTTGTCTCCCAGCCTTTCTCATTTTTTTAATTTTTATTTTTTTGGTTTTTATAGAAAGGGTTTCTCTGTGTAGCCCTGGCTGTCCTGGAAGTTACTCTGTAGACCAGGCTGCCCTTCACCTCAGAGATTCGCCTGCCTCTGCCTCCCAAGTGCTGGGATTAAAGGTGTGCACCACTACCACTACAAGGCTCTTTCTGAACTTTTTTGTTCACATAGAATTTTAAAGCTTTGTGGAATCGGAGGTGGAGGTCAGAGCCTTTACGCTCTGTGCAAATGCTCTGCTGCTGAGCTGCTTCTCCAGCCCAGAGTCTCAGTTCTTCACTTACACTCACTTCTTGGCCAGTGGCCATTCAGGAATCCCCAGTGTTGCCTGTTAAACCTTAGGTGTTGTCTCTTTTCTTGGGGTCCAGCAAACCACCAGTAGAGCTAGTCAGGCCAGTGCCCCATCTGCCTTCCAGTTGGCTCCCTGTCCCTTCAGCCAAGATAAAACCAGTTTCCCAGTTGGGGTTGTGTAGACACTTTACATTAGTCTGTTGGGTTAAAATTTTGGATAGTATTAACAAAAGGAAGCACACCGAGAACACAAAGTAGTCTGTTTTCTTTTAACTGTGCATAGGCGTGCGTACATGTGTGTCTGCTTATGTGCACATGAGTGCAGGTGCCCAAGGAGGCCAGAGGTATCACATACCCTGTGGAGTTACAGATAATGTGAGCTGTCAGATGGTTCTAGGAGCTGAACTCTGGTCTTTATAAGGGCAGCCAGTGCTCTTAACCACTGAGTCATCTCTCCAGCCCCGACAAATCTGCCTTAACTATTGTGCAGTGTGCAGTAGTGTTAAGTGTGTTTTGCATTTACCGGGTCTGTAGACTGTTTTTGTCTTACAGGTCTGAAAGTACCCAGTGAACAAATCTCTTCCCTTCTTCACTTTGCTCCTAGTAGCTACCATTTTATTTATCACTTGTGAGAGTTTGACTACTTTACTATTATTTATTTTTATTTTATGCATATGGATATTTTGCCTGGATGTTTATCTGTTCACCACATGTGTAACCTGGTGCCCATGGAAGCAGGGGGAGCTTTGGAGTCCGTGGAACTACACTTAGGGAGGGTTGGAAACTGCCCTGCAGGCATGAAAATTAACCCTAGGTTCTCTGCAAGAGCAGCCAGTGTTCTTAAACAGATGAGCCCTCTCTCCAGCCCTCCCCCTTTTATTTTGGTTTGGTTTCTCAATGTAGGGTTTCTCTGTGTAGCCCTGGCTGTCCTGGTACTCTCTTTGTAGACCAGGCTGGCCTTGAACTCACAGAGATCTACGTGCCTCTGCTTCCTGAGTGCTGGGATTAAAGACATGTGCCACCACCACTATACCCCATTCTTGTTTATTGTTTTTGTTTATTTTTGAGCCAGGTCTTACTATGTAGCCCTAGCTGGCTTGTCTCAGTCTGCGAAGTACCAAGATTTGTGGGTGTGCACTGCCATGCCCCTGCTCAGTATTTGCTATTTGTGACTGATTTAGTTCACTTAGCATGATATTCTCAAGGTTTGCCCATGTTGCAGCGCAGCAGAGGTCTGAGAGTCTTAAGGCTGAGTGTGTGAGTGTGTGAGTGTGTGTGTGTGTGTGTGTGTGTGTAGACACACACAATACATGTCTTTCTCCTGTTTTTTCTTTTGGTTTTGAGTTAAGGTCTTAAGTAGCCCCAGGCTGGCCTTTTATCTGACTATGTAGCTGAAGATATCCTTGAACTTTTGATCCTCCTGTCTCCACTTCCCAAGAGCTGGGCGTTCATGTGCCCCTCACCTGTTCTGCATTTTCTCCTTAGTTTATCTGTTGACACCTTTCAGGTTCTTCTTCTTGGGTCTTGTGAATAATGCTGAAGTGACCCAAGAGTGCAGGGCGCCAAGGTTGTTGTCTGTTCTTTAGGTCAAACATGGCGTGAGTGGCAGCCTCTCACAGCCCTATTAGATTGCTAACAATTAGCTATGGTGCTTGTCGCTTTGCCAGAAATCTCCAGTTAGCCACTTCCTGCAGTGACTAAGTAGTGACTGCCTTGGACTGGCCAGTACTGCGGTCCCTTCTGATCTCTGTTCCAGCTTTGGCTGTCTGTGCACTTTGCTGCTGAGGCAGCTCCCAGTCCTTGACGAGGCCTTGATTCCTCATCCTCGTTGGGCCCTTGCTCACTGTCTTTGGTGTGCTTTTATACACAATGTCCACAGTGGCTCGTGAACATCATTGTCCTTGTGGTAGCTGTTGGCCGATAGCACCTGCTGTAGGAGGGGAAGTCTGGGTGTGCTGTGACCTCAGGCTGAGAATATTGACAACTGTAGGTAAGGCTTACAGGCCCCCACCACATAGCTTCCCACTGGCAAAAGCATAATTTCCCGTTGTCCCCATGAAACTTGGCACTTATTTATGGGCTTAGTCTCCTCTGTTATTTATAACCTTTCTTGTCACTGTCCTGTGCCCTCCTCTCCCCCACCTACCAGGTGCTAGGTCATGAAGCCAGATACTCTACATGGTGGCAATCATTCTGCCATTGAGCTAGAGTCCCAGCCCTTTTGCTGGTTTTTGTTAAGAAACAGTCTTGCTGTTGCCCATGCTGGTCACAGACTTACCATGTAGCCCAGGTTGGCTTTGAACTTGGAGTACTCCTGCCTCAGCCTGGGACCTGGGATTCAGGAGCATGCCACCGTGCTCTAGGTTAGTTTGTCTTGTTTTGTCTGTGCTAGTAGGAGTGGTACCCCTGCTGGGGTCTCATGCTAACCTAGAACTCCACCCTGAACTTCATCCCTCATCCAGGTCAGGTCAGACTTTTTACTTGATAAATTGGCATTTCATGACACTGGTTTGTCTGTCATCTTTGTGACATTTTCATGTTTGAATTTGTGTCCCGCCCCCTTCTTTCAACAGTAAAACTGTGTAGCCATGGCAGGCCTGGAACTTGCTCTGTAGACCAGGCTGGCCTTGAATTCACAGAGGTCTGCCTGCGTCTGTTTCTCAAATGTTGGGAATATAGGTGTGTGCCAGTGTGCCCTGCTGGGAATATAGGTGTGTGCCAGTGTGCCCTGCTGGCCTTGAAGTCTTCTTGTTCCTTCTGTTTTGCTGCCGCCTCCCAAGTGCTCCTTTACAGTGTGAGCACTTTCTTATAGGCAGTTGTCTGTAGCTCAGGCTATTCTCAGTCTTAGAGCTGAGGATAGCGTGGAACTTGTAGTCTACTTCCTGGGTGCTGAGATATAGGGCCTTAGACGTGCTAGACAAGCACTGTGCCTCTTAACTATGTCCTCAGCTCATTTCTGTTTTGAGAAACACCATACACACACAGTTCAGGACCCTTACCTTTTTGTTAGGAGCAGATTTTCTAAGATTTTTATTTGTTATTGTGTGGATGTAGTGTGTGTGTGTCACACGCATGCCATGTTGCATGTGTGGAGGTCAGAGGTTGACTTTTGGGAATTGGTTGGATCTAGGGAATGAAATCAAGTAGGTTGTGTAGCAAGCACTGTTTCCTGGTGAGCCATCTTGCCAGACTGCATGTTCTCTGTCAGATTTTCAAAGTTGGCTCTACTTTTCATCAGTGAGGTTACAGATTATCAAAACTATAGAAAGGGTTTTCCCAGTGGTGTTGATGGGCAGTACTCAAATGCAGAGTTCCTCTTCCCAAGCCTGCTCTGCGTCCTTTGTTTGAATATGTGTGCACACATGAACATATGTGGGTTCCAGGGGACAGCCTCGGGTTGCTGTCCATTTTGTGGTATTGGTTCTTTGTTTACAAGTTCTCGATGTGTAGATCAAGATAACCTTGAACTCCAGGCTTGATAACCAGGAAAGCTGCATGCCTCTACCTCCACCTCCTGACATCTTTGGTTTTTGGATTTTTTGGGGTAGGGGTTTTTTGTGTAGTCCTAGCTATCCTGGACTCACTCTGTGGACCAGGGCTGGCCTCAAACTCACAAAGATCTGTCTCCCTCCTGAGTGCTTGGATTAAAGGTGTATGCCATCATTCCTGGCTTCTTCTGATTTTTTTTTTTTAAAGACAGAATCTTGCCATGTAGTCCTGACTGGCTGGTAACTCAGCAATCCTCCTGCTTCAGCTTCCTAAGTGCTCTGATTACAGGCTTACCCCATCTCACCCAGTTACTGCTCTACAACAAATTCATAGGCACTGTGGATCCTTTGAACTACATTTTGAGTAATTCTGGTTTATTCAGATTTACAAACTAGAGAAACTCACTCTAGCCTAGTACATCTCCAGTTACATACTTGTCCTCCCTCTTCCAGGGACAGATTGTGATGCCACGAGGCAGCCGGGACTTTGGCTGGGATCCCTGCTTTCAGCCTGATGGATATGAGCAAACGTAAGAAACTCAAATTTCTTCTCTGGTTTATAGGCTTGGGTGAGTACTTTGCTCGTGTGCAGTCATGAGGATATGGGTGAGGCAGACTCCCCTCTTCCAGCTGAAGCCATTTTTGCTGGAGTGGACACAGGAATCCAGGTTACCCAGTCCATGGCAGGGCAACACAATTGTCTTAGGTCCTGCTCCCAGCTCCCGTTTTGTGGCCAGTTGACTCCCGTTCTCTGGCCCTGCCTATAAGATGTATAAACCTTGTGGTTTTATGAGATGACACTAGCTCCATCTGGGCTGGGAGAATGCACAGCTTTGTAGCTCCAGGTAGGCACATGAAACCCATACAGTAGAACATGTTCTTGCCACTTCACATTAACTGCACCCTCTTACTTCCACATACTGGTATAGGGCCAAGACCACTGCAGCAACCCTGCTCAGCATGTCCTTGGGTGTGAGGAATGTCCTCTGATATGCTCTCTGCTTGGATGGTCACAGAGCACTTGGGATCTAGTTAGATGAGGAACTGAGTTTATTTTTTTCTGCTTATTTATTTTATGTTCATGGGTGTTTTGCCTGTGTGTATGTCTGTACACCAGATGAGTATCCTGGCCAGAGGTCAGAAGACACTGTTGGATCCCAGGGTCTGGAGTGACAGCTGGTTGTGAACCACTGTGAACCATCTTAATCACTGAGAGTCTGCAGCCCCAGTTACTCTGAGGCTGCTGTTTGATCTTGATCTGTCAGGCTCCACTGCTTCCCATAAACACTTAGCTCATCCTTGTCCCCAGCTTCTTTAAGAACCCAGGGCACAGTAGAACAACTTCAGCTTCTCTCCAAGCCGTTACTGTGAGTTTCTGTCCTACAGAGGAATTTAAAACTGTTTGATTTAACAGGCCAGAAAGCTGGCGGCTCATTGCCTGCTTTCCTAGCTCTCTCCTGGGGGAAGGCCATTTGCTTGGGCTCAAACATGGTGTGCTGGGGCCTGTCTGCCTTTTGCCTGTGCACAGGTTCTGGATATAGTTTTTATCTTCAGGGGAAACTCTCCAACCCCCACAATAGAATCATTAATATTTGGGATTCATTGCAGGGAATTCTGGGGAAAAGGGGGAGGAAGGATTGATTGTAAGAGCCAGGGGGGGACAGGGACACCACAAGGAAAAACAGAATCAACTAACCAGGGTCCATATGAGCGCACAGAAACTGAAGCAACAAACAGATTCTGTACGGGTCTGAGCTGGGTCTCTGCATGTATGTTATGGATGTGTACCCTGATGTTCTTGTAGGATCCCTAACAGTGGGAGTGGGGGTGTCTCTGTTGCCTGCTCTTGGGACCTTTTTCCTCCTACTGAGTTGCCTTGTCCAGCCTCAATACAAGGGGATATGCCTCTTGATGTGCCATTTTTGGTTGATATCCCAGAGAGACCTGTCCTTTTCTGAAAGAAGAGTGGACTTGGGGGTAGATGGGGGAATGACTGGGAGGAGAAACTTCAGTTGGGATATAATATATGACAGAAGAATAAATTTTAAAATTTTGGGATTTAAAAAAAAAAAGATTTGGGCTCCAGAGTGGCAGTTGGGTGCTTGTCGTCCCAATATCTGGGTTCCCTATTTTCTGAGCTGCTTCTCTTTCCTGTTAGGTATGCAGAGATGCCAAAGTCTGAGAAGAACACCATTTCTCATCGCTTCCGGGCCCTGCACAAGCTGCAAGAGTACTTTAGTGTGGCTGCTGGGGCTGGCGACCACTAGGGCCGTAGGTGGGGGCTAGTGCAGAACTCCTCAGGAGGCAGGCACTCCTGCGAGGCGCCTCTGGGTTCCCTCTGCCAGGGGAGCCAGGCAGCTTCAGCAGCCGGTTCTGTGGAAGAGCAGTTGGCTCTGCATGGGAGACTCAGGGCCAGTTGATACTAAACCCTTGTCCTTTGGGATTCAAGAGTTGCCTTTGGCCAGGCATGGTAGTGCACACTTTTAATTCCAGAATTTGGTGAGTTCGAGGCCAGCCTGGTTTACATAGTGAATTTGTGGACAGCCAGAGCTACATAGTGAGACATTCTCAAAAACAAAACAACAAGTTGTTCTTGCAGCCTCTGGCTCTGGAACTCTGAGAAGATTTTAGGTGTTTGCATTTCTTATCTGGTTGAGGGTTTGGCAAAGAAACACACAACTTTTGGTTTTAGAATGTATCAAATGTAAATTCTGGAAGACATTTGTTTCCAAAATAAATGATATGTCTGTCTTTTGAGTTTCCATTGACAGGTAGGAAACCATCTTGAGGGACGATTGGAGGGGCGGTGCTCACCTGCTTGGATAGCTAGCATACTCTCTCTACTTGAGTTCTTAAGAGTTGCTGGCCTCTCTTCTATGTCAGATCGTGCTGGAGTGGGGGAGGAGGTGTCACAGTGTAGAATGTTTTACCTTGTGCTTGTGGACATTATGGGCTTGCAAATGACCTGAGTTCAATCCCAAGAGCCCACATGAAGAGTAAGAGAACTGACTTCCAGATGTATGCCATACAATTCACCCTGCTCCACCTATACAAGTAAATGTTGAGACTTTTCTGTCAGCAGAAGCCCACAGGAATCCTGAAGCTGCCTTGTACCATAATGTGCATCCCCTCTCCCCAAACCATTCCCTGGGAGGATCTTCAAGGGCCAGTGCCTGAAGGGTATGCTCATGAAAGATGAGGAAAGAAAGCAGGTTGCTGTGGCCCAGGCAGTTCTGTAGACATTCCCTCCAGATTTAGGCCCCAAACCCAGGTTTAGCCATGTGATAGAGGCATTTCTCCTACCTCAGGCATGGAATGTGGTGAGTGTGCAACACCTTTCTTCCTGTCCTGTCCCCTCGCCTGTCCCAGCACTCTGCCTGGCTCCACTTAGTACTGGAGGCCTCTCTGCCATGGCTTTCCCTTTGAGGAATGCCCACCCTGCTGAGGAAATCTACCCCTCCCAACTTAAATTTCGAGCCACACAGGCAGGAGGGGGATGAACACAGGCAGCATGTTTCCTGCTCAGTCCTTCCTGAATCTCTCCCTATAAACAGCCAGGGAGAAGATACGGTGCCTGAGCCCCCAATGTAGAATTACATGTAGGTGCACACCCTGCACCTATGTGCAGGTGTGCCAGGCATCCTAGCGTGTTCAGCCTTTGGTTTGCCAGCTCAAGTCTAAGGAAGAATTCCTTTTGGCTTACATTTCTGATTTTGTTTTCCCAGCACAGTGGGCAAACTCAGAGCATCCTGCAGTCGAGGCCTTCTGTACAACCACACCCCTAGCTCTGTCAAGGGCGTTGAGCATCTCTTGCCATTCGTGTATCCTTTCATCTTCTTGCTAGTGTGCAGGCTGGTGTTCTAGCATGGAGGCGTCTTCTATTTTCTCTGTAGTATTATTGTCTGGCATTTACTTTTTATTTCGTGGTGCTGGGAACCAGATCAGGGTTTTGCACAAGTCAGAAAACTAACACCGAGCTGCTGCATCTACAGCTCTGGTTTGTCTACTGTTCATAGTTGAGCCAGTGCCCACTCTTGGAGGTGACAACACATACATGCATTGGCAATTCAGGACGTTGTGGCCATTGTCCTGTTCATTGTCAGAATAAAGGGGTTGTTACTCAGAGGATACTGAAGATCACTCAGAGGATCACTGAAGAGATGTGAGTGTATCCCAAGAAGCCACCATAGGGAATTAGTTCATGAAGGGTGCAGAGGTCGGGTATTGCTGTGGAATTTGTGGGTGGGGAACTGTATGGTTGGATAATGCATAATTATTACCCACCAGGGTGACTAGGAAAGGTTTACAATCACCTGTGTCTAAAATGTTATAGAGCACACGAAAGGTAAAACCAGATACTCCTGGAAGCCATAGGTGATTAACTGGGAATCCCAGTGGTAGGAGTGGGTAACCCACAGGCCCCTAAAACAAGGCTTTGCCACAGTTGCTGATTGTCTTCCAGAATTTAACAGCAAGACCCTATTGCAGAAAAAGTTGCTGCTTTGGCTATCTGAGAGTCAGCTCCTGTAGTGCTAGAAGCTGCTGCCAAGGCTGCTAAGCATGGAGCCTCTGCTCAGCTACTGACCCTGCATGCTTCATGATGGAAACGCCAGGTAAGATGCATTGGTGGATATAGTGCACAGGTGTGGAGAGAACCAACTTCTTGACTGAACCAGAGGCCAGCTTTGCAGGGATGAAATTCACATCTGGCACGGGGAACGTAGATGACCTGTGACTAGGGAAGTCAGGTTCTAGTGGAGAAGCAAGTGACTGTTAAGGTGCTTACCCACATGAGTTCACTACCCCAGGTTACTACAGACTCTATCCATTTGGGCATTCTGTTCTGTTTTGTCAAGACTTGGCAACAGATGTGCTTCAGAGACAGGAATGACCAAAGGCAGGAGGGCTCAGTAATTCGCTGGAACAGGAAGAGAATAGTCAACATCCAGTTCTCCAGATCACATCAGTGGGCTGTGCAGGGCGCTCCTGTCCTCATCCCTAGCCATAGTCTACAGCTACTTTCTTCGTGTACCATACAGCACCTTGCTCTACCCAAACCCTGTCTCCTCTGGGTCTGTTCCCAGAATGCATCCCTTGTAGTGACCTCTCAACAGGGTCACAGCATATAGAGGGTACTCAACATTGGTCCCTTTTATTTGTCCGCAGTGGGCTGGAGAGATGGCTCAGTGGTTAAGAGCACTGGCTGTTCTTTCCAAGGTCCTGTGTTCAATTCTCAGCAACCACATGTGGCTCACAACTATCTGTAATGGGATCTGATGCTCTCTTCTGGTGTGTCTTTAGAGAGCAATGGTGTACTCATATACATAATAAATAAATTGTTTTAAAAAAAATACTTGGGGCAGTGGTGGCGCACGCCTTTAATCCTAGCACTTGGGAGGCAGAGGCAGGAAGAGTTCTGAGTTTGAGGCCAGCATAGTCTACAGAGTGAGTTCCAGGACAGCCAGGGCTACACAGAAAAACCCTGTCTCGAAAAAACAAAAAAACAAAAAAAAACCTTAAAAAAAAATACTTGTTTATTTGCCCCGCAGTGGGTTTGATTGCTCTTCCCCAAGTCTGGAGGAGTACCAAGGAGGATGGCAGCATGTTCAAGCATAGAAACAAGACTTTTATTCACTAATGTGCACAATCGAGTTCCTTATACAATCAAGGAAATGGGCTCTCTCCTGGGCATCAACTCTTTTATCAAAAGAATATCCACTCTTTTTAGCCCCACCCTGACAGTGTTTTTGACCCCAAACTAAATGTTAATGGGATGAGGAGTGAGTACACACCTCTCAAAACCACAATGCCAGGGGGCTTTAGGTCACAAGGCAGCAATGAGGACGGGCCAGAGCCACAGCCAGCTCATGCTCCTCACGTGTTGCCACAGAGCAGGCCTGAAGGAGGGGAGGGTGGTGCAGGTTAGTGTTCAGCGTCCATGACATCCAAGTACTTGGCCTCGATGATCCGGGGTAGCAGATTGTAGCTGCAGAGTAGAGGGAGAGGTAAACTGAGTGGTGGGCGGTTATAGCAGGCACCCACTGAGTCCAGCCCTGGGCTGAGCCCTCCTGACAGCTGCCCAGCCTGGTCATACCGGATTGGAATCATGGCAATCATGATGAGGGGAAAGACCATCTTCATGTAGGGCAGGGAGCTCATGCCAAAGGCACAGAGCAGCAGCAGCTGCAGGATCTGCAGGCCTGTGAAGTAGTGGATCTTCCTTTGGGGCACTCTCCGGATGTAGTGTGTGGGTGGGTATGATGTCTGCTCCTTGAGCAGCAGGGCCACACGCGAGAAGAGCTGGTTGCCGTCCAGGGAGGTCAGCGCAATGTAGAGGAAGAGTCCATAAAGCACGGGCTTGGGGATCCACTGCAGAGGGAACGGCAGCAGCAGCAGGGACAGACCCACCAGGACACTGGCACCCAGCGCGGTCAGCCGCGTCTCCTTAACACTCACAATCCTGTGGGGCCCAGAGCACAGGGCTACATGTGGGTGTAGCTAGGGCTGCATTACCCCCGAGCCCCCGTCTCCAAGTAAGCCACCTTCTTCCCTAGGTCACCTGTCGGCCAAGGCTGTCCCCCTGCTCTCGCTCTAGGACTCTAGGGATCATTCATACTCACGTTTCATAAATGTGCCCGTTCTCCACGCGTTCCTCCACTAAGGCCAGTGCCCGCACATGCAGTGGGGAGTGGGGATAGGCGGCGTGAATCCAGGGTAGCCCAAACAGAGACAGCCCCGTATTGATGATGGCAAGCAGCAGGAGGTCCCAGTGATAGGCAGTGCCCTTCACCAGCCTGAGGTAGATAGGCACACACGGACAGAGTTCTGTTGGCTGTCAGAAGTCTGGGACCTGGTCCCACCCTCCCACAGTCCTCAGTACCTGTTCTCTGGTGCATTGACCAGGGCCGCCACCAGGTTCTGCTCAATGAAGAAAAGCAAGGAGAGCAGGAAACCAAGACCCATGGCACTGCTGATGGCCTTGAAGGACAGAGAGTGGATCTGTGCCACCTCAAAAAGGCTCTCGCTTGGGTTGTACCGGAACTTGCTCACTGCAATAGGGGACAGGCTTGGCCCACAGTTCCCAGGGAGCAAAGCCATACACCACCCCTACCTCATCCCTCCCATCCCAACTCACTCTCAATTTCCTGGAAGCCATAGGAGCTGATGAGGGAGAAGGAGAGCACGGCGATGGGCAGGGCACAGTCAGACAGGGTCTCACGCACACATGGGTGCAGGTAGGGGCTGGAGAAGATGGGCGGGTATGTCAGCATGGCCTGGGGCGGGCTGGCCCGCACCCCGTGAGCCCCCTCGCTTCTTTTCAGGAAGTCTTGAACTAGAGTATAGCTTAGACTGGCTTCATACTTGAGATCCTCCTGCCTCCGCTTCCCCCCCACCCCCCAAGCACTGGGATCAAAGTACCTTTTCTTGAACTGGTAGAGGGTGTAGCCCAGCCAGAGTGTGCCCAGCATGATGAGGAGGCTGAGCACTGCTGTAGCCTGGCCAGAGTGTGTGCTGCCAGGGCTGCTGGTTGTGGCCATCTCTATGGGGCTGGACAAGAGGCTGGTGTTGAGTGCAGTGTGGAGACTGGTGTTGGGGCTTTGGCCAATGCCCAACAGGCTTGCCAAGGAGGAAGTCCTTTTTGTGTGGTAGTGGTGACCATAGTAGTACTTCCAGAAGACTGTGGGACAGGTCAACAGGCCTAAGCCATCTGGTACCTGGGAGGCTGTAGCTTAGCTTCTTTACAGAAATAGG